CTTCTGATCCTCTGTCTCCCTCTCTCTCTGCCCCTCCCCTGCTCTATCAAAAATAAATAAAACATTAAAAAATTAAAAATAAATAAAAATAAACTTTTCTTTTGTAAAAAGGAAGAATGGCAGTTATGAAAGAGAAGTTATGAAAAACAAGAAACTGCAAAGACCTTGACAGCAGGCAACTCAATTTTAGGAGGAAGTACATATTTTAGCAGAGAAATTTAGGAACAAATTCTCTAAAAACTACTTTAGGGAAGGCTTTGTGAAACTCAAGTGGTATGAATATCTATTTGAAGGTCACTGGTTTAAAAAATATTCTTTTTTTAAAAAAATTTTTTTTTTCAACGTTTATTTATTTTTGGGATAGAGACAGACAGAGCATGAACGGGGGAGGGGCAGAGAGAGAGGGAGACACAGAATCGGAAACAGGCTCCAGGCTCTGAGCCATCAGCCCAGAGCCTGACGCGGGGCTCGAACTCACGGACCACGAGATCGTGACCTGGCTGAAGTCGGACGCTCAACCGACTGCGCCACCCAGGCGCCCCTAAAAAATATTCTTAACAATCATTGTACATATAGTATCAAATCAACAGAATTACTTGTATTAAGAGGTCTTAAAAAACAGAAGAAAGAAACATCTAAGAGACTTTTAGATACAGAAGTAGAAATAGAAATACAATTTCCAACTCAAGTACAACAGTCTGTCTTCCTTAACATTACTGTCCTACCTCGTACAATGACTAGCACATTGTAAGAGCTCGATGGATAATAAATGATAGCATATAAGCAAAATAAATCTAAAAAGCGCAGAAGGCGGGGTTGGGGGGAGCTGGCTGGCTCAGTGGGAAGAACATGCAATTCTTGATATCTGGGTCATGAATTCAAGCCCCATGTTGGGTGTAGAGAGGACTAATGATATAAAGTTTAAATAAAACAAAATAAAATAAAATAAAGAGAGCAGAAAGGCATTAAGACAAGAGCAGAGTGGCACCTGGGTGGTTCAGTCGGTTGGGTGTCTGATTCTTGATTTCGGCTCAGGTCATGACTTGGCAGTTTGTGGGATCGAGCTCCACTCAGACTCTGAACTGCCATTGCAGCTTGGGATACTCTCTCCCTCTCTCTCTGCTCCTCCCCCACTCATCTCCCCCCCTCAAAATAAATAAATGAACAATTAAAAAAAAGACAAGAACAGAAATCGAACTGGAAAGACAGTGTAAATGGCAACAACAACAAAAAAACTCTAAAGGGCTTAAGTAAAGAAAATGCACAGTCACAGCATTATTAAGATTATAAAAGAAAAAACAAAATAAAATCAACAAGAGGGGAAAAAACAGAGAAATATAAGTTTATTTGGGAAAAATAAACAGAAATTCAAATCACTTCTAGGACTTAGCAAAAATTTCTTTGCATTTGTCCCACCTTCATTTTACCTGAGCTGAGACTCAACAACAGTGACACACCAAAGCCAAGATGAATCATAAACTCATCGTGTATACTGGGTTGACCCTAAATCTCGCTCTACAAAATTCCCAATTTCTGTATTCCAGCCTACGTCTTCAACACTGTTGCACACCCGGCCAGAAGCAGCAAGCATACGATTACCCTAAAGACCTCCAAATTTATCACAACCCCTCCAAAAACTATACTAAAAGTATAGTATAGTAGTTTTACTATAAAATAGAAAGATATTCCGTATCTCATGTTATACAAATGAGATTTACCTACTTCATGAAAACATAAATAGTAAGCAATACTTTTATCACATCTTTAGAGCAAACTGAACCCAACGATCCAAGGCCACAAAAATCATTGATTATCATCATCATGATTATGTACCTAGGAGTAATTTTTTTTCATTATGTTGTTCTATACAGACTAATTCAGCACTTTCTGAATGTATTATAATACCATCCCCTGGATCCATACCTTAAACTATGTTTTTGTTTTGTTTTGTTTTGTTTTTCAACATTTATTTATTTTTGGGACAGAGAGAGACAGAGCATGAACGGGGGAGGGGCAGAGAGAGAGGGAGACACAGAATCAGAAACAGGCTCCAGGCTCTGAGCCATCAGCCCAGAGCCTGACGCGGGGCTCGAACTCACGGACCGCGAGATCGTGACCTGAGCTGAAGTCGGACGCTTAACCGACTGCACCACCCAGGCGCCCCTAAACTATGTTCTAATCATCATCAGATAAAGTCTAAGACAGAACCACGTTTAAAAGACTTCCTCATATGGGGGCACCTGTGTGGCTCAGCTGGTTAAGCATCTGACTCTTGGTTTCGGCTCAGGTCACAATCTCATGGTTTGTGGGATTGAGCCCTGAGTCAAGCTCAATGCTGACAGAACAGAGCCTGCTTGGATTCTCTCTCTCCCTCCTTCTCTCTCTCTCAAAGTAAATAAACTTTAAAAAATAAAAATAACCCTCTAAAAAAATATAAAAAATTAAAAAAAAAAAAACCTTCCTCATTACTTTACAGGACAGCATGTTTAGTTGGTACACCAAACTGGTTTAATTTGAGTCACAATTTCAACTGCCTACAGTGACCAGGAAGTAATCTAAATGAGGAAACAGACTAGGTATAAGATAACAGTGAGTGATGAAAAGCACATTCTGTTGTAAAGGCGCTCAATTATATTTTAATTAGATTTTGAATCTGTTGAATGTTTTGAAAGCCAAACAAAAACATATCTGGGCTGAATTTGGACAAATTTACTAGGGTTCAATTTTGCAATCCTCATTGTTCAGCTTTCAAAACATTCACCAGATTCAAAATCAATATTTACCAAGTGCCCACTAGAAAGAAGAGACATATAATTAGAATGAGAAAATGCTTATTAAATGTTATTGTTGACACAGCAAATACTTGTGCAAAAAGTTGTCTCATTATGCATGAGGTTTCAGTAACCTAATTAAAACCAGACACAAATTACAAACCAAATCTACAGCCTTGACTTACTCTATTATATAAGAAAGAACACACTTCAGGTAGAAAAAATACTCTATTTCCATACTTTAATACTGAAATCAGCTATCATACATATCCATCAACTCTTGTATTTCATTGTCTTTATCTCAGGAGATAGTCAAAGTGAGATTAATTAGATGAAGCATTCTCAGCAAATCTATAACACTCTGTACTTCATCTCCAAATTTAAGTCAGGTCCTTTAATAAGTTACTGCTTATTCACTGCTGTGTAATATTTATGAAATGAATTAGTGCAATATATCATTGAGGTATTATTTAAAAGGCAAATACCCTATAGATATGGATTTGTCATCCCAATTCCTTGGCACTCAATAATATAAGTGTCTTTAGAGGCATCGTCTTCATCTTCTGATTTCTTCACAGAGAATTTAGCCTGAAACCAGAGAAGCATTTAGTATATAAGTAATATAAAGAGAGATAGAAAGCCCTTAAGTCCAACATAAATAGGCAAGTAGTTAATATCAAACTCATTTTATTGAGGAAGCTAGAGGCACAAAGATCAAATGACTCATGAGAAATTCAATAACCTAAATATAAAATATTTTGCTCCAGAAGCATGACTCTTGTTCAAAAGTAATATATACTTGTGGAGTTCTGTCAGAATGTATAGCCTAGGCCCTGCTCCGTATCCACTGAATCAAAATCCCCAGGATATTTGCAGCTAGGTAAATACCATTTTCAAAATCCCAATTGTTAACTATAACACCCCTTTACTACCTACTTCCTATATTTTTTCTAAAACATAGCATTGAAGCATTTATACTTCTCTGATCTTGTCAAGATCAAGTTTCTAAATCCCCTCAAATTTTTCTTGTCAATTTAATTCCCTAAATATGCTATTCAAAAAAATCTAGTTCAAAGAAGGAAGGTGGGGGGATGCCCTTCATCTTTATTGGCCTTAACATGGTATTTTTCACTTGTTAACGAATTGAAGTTTGGCTTTGAAATATTTGGTTTCTATCACTGCATTCTGGAAACATGATTTTTTTTTAAAGCTACTGCATTCATTCTGATAAAACAATTAAAATCAAAACAATTGAGTAGGTTGAATTTGTAGCAAATGGATTTCAAATGCGCCTAAGACCTTAGGATTCTATGAAACACAATTTGAAAACCATCATTCTGGGGCCTACTGCATAGTAATATTCACAAATTATTCCAGTTTCAGGATTATGTGACAGTATACTGTATATAGTAGACACTGAAAATTACTGTTGAATGAATAAGCACTGAATTCTGAGCTACATAGCCAATTACTTGTGTAATTATATATATGTATACATTTCAAATTGTAAGCATTATGTAAATATGAAACACAGGAACACTCAATGAAATCATTTCTAGCCTATATATAAATATACTGAAACTAAAAAAATTTAAAGTTACAAGGAGTCTTAATGGACTATGCACCAGTCTCTGATTTTACAGATGAATTATCTGCACTGAGGCACAGAAAGAAAAAGCAGCTTGCCCCAAGTCACTCAGTAAGATACCACAAAGCGGAACAAGAAACCAGAGCTATAAATTCCAATTCACAGCACTCTCCACTATGTATTCACTTCAAATAACATGTCAGTGTCCACTACATGCAAAGTACTATAAAAAGTGAGGATTAGGGGCGCCTGGGTGGCTCCGTCAGTTAAGCGTCCGACTTCAGCTTAGGTCATGATCTCGCGGTCCGTGAGTTCAAGCCCCGCGTCGGGCTCTGTGCTGACCGCTCAGAGCCTGGAGCCTGTTTTGGATTCTGTGTCTCCCTCTCTCTCTGACCCTCCCCCATTCATGCTCTGTCTCTCTCTGTCTCAAAAATAAATAGACGTTAAAAAAAAATTAAAAAAAAAAAAAAAAGTGAGGACTATATGAATGCAACTTAGTCCCTGCCATCAAGGAGATCATAGTTTACAAAGAAAAAATGATAATACAGCATAAATGGAATAATAAAAAGTACAGTTAACTATCTCTTGACATGAAATATAATTTACCTTCAATTCCTATTATCCTTTTCCTACAACTGAATCAATATCTATGCTTTCTAATAACAAGAAAAAAGGTGTATGTTATTAAAAATCATACAAATAAACGGTTAGAAGCAGGGCAACTCCCAACTTTGTGCTTGCTACCCTTCTATAATAGCTATTTTTTTTAATAATGTGCATTATTTTTATAATTTTTAAAACTACTTAAGGTCACCTTCCTTCATAAAATTCTGAGTTATAAATTATAGATCACTTTATGAAATTACATTATAAAGACTATAGCAAAACAGGAACATGCAATTACTGAAAAAGGCAAGAAATGAAGCTATATGCAGTAAATGCAAAAAAAAAAAAAAAAAAAAAAAAAATGAAAAGAGAAACACTTTTAAGAGGAAAATACCTAAATGTCAATAGTGGTTGTTGGCAAAAGGGACTATAGGTAGGTTTTTTTCCCCTTATTTTCCAAATTTGCTATAAGGAAATTACATTAGTTTCAGATAAAACATACAAATTTAGTCATTTTTTTAAAATTAAGAATCCTGCAGAAAAGGTATTAATATGAGCTTATATACTAATAAACCCTGTTTCACTAAAAAATTATAAATCTACTCTTATAAAAGTTTAGGGGACTGGTGTTAAAATTTCAGCAAATATTCTATTCTACCGTAGAATCAAAAGAAAATGAAACATGTAAAATTTCATATAAATATTTAAGTTTCTGGCCAACCATGAATTCCTTATGATTTGATTTCATAGTTCTCATGGAAGTATTTTTACTCTATAAGGCAGCAATACACATGCGCTTTGCCGTGTGCTTTCCCAGGTCTGTTCACAGCCCAGCTCTGCCACTAACAAACTATGTGGGCTTGAGCAGTTAATTTAATCCCTTTACTGCACTTTACTCACATGCAAAATGGGAATAAAAATAAACAGCAACCTAACATGGTTATGCAGAGCTGGGGTGCCTAGGTGGCTCAGTGGGTTGAGCATTCAACTCTTGATTTAGGCTAGGGTTATGATCTCATGGTTAGTGTGTTCAAGCCCTTCATCGGGCTCTGTGCTGGTGGTGCGGAGCCTGCTTGGGATTCTGTCTCCCTCTCTCTCTGCCCCTCTCCCATTTGCACGCACATGTGCTCTCTCTCTCTCAAGATAAATAAACTTTAAAAAATAAAACGGTTATGCAGAGTAAGATGATTCAGGGCAACTGCTGACTCAGCTCAGTGTCTGCCACACAAGAAGTACTAGGTGAGGAATAGCAAGTATCATGTTTATTACAATCTGACCCAAAAACTGGCTATGATAAAAATCAATTACTCTTTCTAAAGGAATACTCACCTTTGCTAGTTGTTCAGCAAAATGTATAGCCGTTTGTGTATGGAGTGTAACTGGTCCTGTTTTTATTCTGGAAACTCCACAGGCTAATGCCATAAAAATGATCAGCTATTAAAAAAAGAATAAAGAAGAAAATTTTCACACATTTACTAATATTTGGAGTTAAAATTCTACTGCTTACCATATGAAAATACTACTAGAAATCAAAATAGCTCAAAGCATTTCTACTTCTTTAGGTTTCCAGAAGTCCTAAGAAGATGACAGAAAACCTCTGTCACCCACAGTCTGTGTTGTGGTACAGAAATGCTCAGTAGCAGTTGTCAATACAGCCTTTCTAAAATTTGTGTTTAAGAATAAAACAGAGAGTTAAAAGTTAATATATCAGACCAACTGTCTCTACAAGGTGGAATATATAATATGACAAGCTTCTTCCATTGTCTAAAATTACAACTTTTTTTTAAGTTTATTTATTTGAGAGAGAGAGAGAGAGAGCGAGCGAGCATGCACGTGAGGGGGAGCGGAGGAGGAGAGGGAGAGACAGAATCCCAAGGAGGCCCTGATGCTGAAATCAAGAGTCGGACACTTAACCAACCGAGCCACCCAGCAGCCCCTAAAATTACATTTTAGTGGGTAAACAAATACACTAATACAGAATTCCTTAGAATATAGAGTACACTTGGGCAAGAAAGGAGAGACTAGAAATAAGGGAAATAAGAAACTAGTTAAGGAGAGGTACCTAGGTGGTTCAGTCAGTTAAGCATCCATCTTTGGCTCAGGTCATGATCTCATGGTTCATGAGTTTGAGCCCTGCATTGGGCTCTCTGCTGTTAGCACAGAGTCTGCCTCAGATCCTCTCCCCCTTCTCTCTCTGCCCCTGTTCTCTCTCTCTCTCTCAAAAAAAAAAAAAAAAAAAAAAAAAAAAAAAAAAGAAAGAAAGAAAAAAGAAAAAGAAACATAAAAACAAAAACTAGTTAAGGGGCACCTGGATGGCTCAGTTGGTGAAGCATGAGACTCTTGATCTGGGGTTGTAAGCTTGAGCTGCACACTGAGTGTAGTTACTTAAAAAATAAAATCTTAAAAAAAAAAACCAACAACAAAGGAAAGAAACCAGTTAAGAAATCCTAAAGAATACATTTCTAAATGCAGATTGATGGTTTGAGATTAAGGAGAGAAAAGTATGGTAGAGAAAAAGAAAATCTATCAAGACAGGGGACCATAAAAAGATCTTACTTGGAAATATTCACCAGCATTTCTCCATATGAATAAATGTGTTAAGTTTAAGAGGTCTATGACACACCCAAGTGGAGATGCTGACAGGCACAAGGGACAGAGTTAAGGAGAAAGGCCTGAACTAGGTGATATAAATTTGGGAGTTGTCTGTGCACAGGTGGGACATAAGCTATGAGACTGGACAAAACAACTGAGCCAGTGAATACAGATGAAGGAAAGAGGCATGAGCCTGAGCCTAGGGATTCTCTAAAACTTAGAAGTTGAGATGAAAACAACAGTAACAAACTACCAAAAGACTAGAATACGTGGTCAGGGAGATGAAAAGAAAACAGTGCTTCAGAAACCAAGTGAGCAAAGAATTTAGAGAAGGAAAGAATGACCAACTGTACCAAATGCCATGGCCAGGTCAAGATGAAAACTGAAATCTGAGGAATATAAATTCCAGAAAAATATTTAAAAACTGATTGAACTAGGACATGCCAATCAGTCTCTCAAAGTTAGTGATAAAATTTTTTTTTATTTTTTATTTTTTAAAATTTACATCCAAATTAGTTAGCATATACTGCAACAATGATTTCAGGAGTAGATTCCTTAGTGCCCCTTACCCATTTAGCCCATCCCCCCTCCCTCCAAGTAA